TTTCTGTGCACCCCTCCGAACTTGTGTTTGACTTAGTTTTGTGTGTGTTGGTGTTGGTGTTTGTGTGAGATTTGTTCTTGCATTTGCATTTTGCACTTAGCCTAAAGTCAGCATATCAACGCAAAGGCGAAGTTTGCCATCTTTCTTCAGGACAAAAAGGACCGGAGCGCCATGAGGAGAGGATGATGGGGTGATGGCACCAGTAGCCAGCTGTTTGTCAATAAAGTCTTTAAGGGTGACTAACTCCTTTTCAGACAAAGGATAAATACAGCCAAGAGGCGGCGAAGTGCCTTCTTCCAAGTCAATCTTCAAGTCGTAAGGTCTGTGTTCAGGGAGTGAGTCTGCAGCAATCTCGTCGAAGACGTCTGCAAACTCAGCATACTCTTCTGAGATAGCATGATGGAGTGGAGGGATGTTAAGATCATGTACACTGTGTAACCGTGCCAGGGCCACAAGGTGTCTAAGTGCGGAAGATGAGTGGGACAGTAGTGAAGTTATTAACAACACCGCCGTTACGCCGTTAGTCCCCAGAGATCAAGAGTATAGAGGGAGGAGCTAAGTAGCAGCCAAGTCAGAGCGGCAGTATCGCCGATGACGAGGAGCGGACCAGAGGACATTCAAGTCCTAAGGTCGAGTAGAACGTGCTTCAAGGCGTTGAGCCTGAAGACTTAGGGAAGGGCTAAGTTGAGAAGGGAGATCTAAGTTGATAATTAAACTGAGGAACTACAGTAGCGTACAAGCAGTATTTATATCTACGGAGCGGCGCAGCGGTGCGGAGCGCTAGACTAACTACTAGGAGCTATACGAGTAGTACCTGCAGGGTAGAGTAAAAGACAATAAGGAGGGACTAGAACAAAAGGGTATGTGTAGCGAGAAAGAACAATAAAAGTGAGATTACAATAAACGGTGGATCTTCGGTATACCGAGCGGCGGAATGAAGGCCTGAGGCATGGACTTGACACACGCCTAACACACTTGTATCATTGGGTAAACTCGACGATGCAGGATATGTGATGGTAATCAAAGATGGAACTCTTAAGATCATCAATAGACAGGGGGAGACGATTGGAATCATTCCCAAAACAAATGGTCTCTACCAGATTCCGAGCGCAGAATATGCCTATGCCAGGAAGGCAACCAGGATGGTTTTGCTTTATGAAGCACACTGCATCACTGGCCACCAGAACTATGCTTATGTCAAACATATGTTCAAATCAAACCAGGTTCACAGGATCAAGTTAGATCCTAAGCAGATGGAAGAACCCGAATGCCGAACTTGCATGCTTGCTAAAGCAGCCAGATTTCCGATCTCCAAAATTCGAACATCCCCAAGAGCGGAGAAATTCAGTGATGTATTTCACATGGATGTATGGGGACCAGCTTCTATCTAGACGCTAAATCATTATGTCTACGCATTGACAGTCATCGACGAAGCAACCAGTTGGTTGGAGGAACCATTAATGAAGGGCAAAGATGAGGCTTTCGCTCAGTACGTAATACTCTAAACTGGTCTCCAAACTCAATATGGCGTAACGGTCAAGAAACTCCACTCTGATTGAGGGGGAGAATTTCTCAGTGGTGAATTCACAGCATACCTGGAACGATTAGGCACTAAGCATAGCCTTACGGTACATGACACGCCAGAACACATTGGCATAGCAGAACGCAGCCACAGGACACTACTCAATGGAGTACGCAGCCTCATGATATCATCTGGATTACTGAAATGGCTCTGGGGATTCATGATGGGCTACACAGTGTATGTATGGAACAGGACACCAAAGAAGGCAAATGGTATGATTTCTCCATGGGAGAAACGATTTGGCACAATTCCCAACATCTCCAACTTCCACATCTTTGGAAGCACGGTCTATGTTAAACGTGAAAAGGAGCTGGGAAGCTTGACCCACAAGTGCAGAAAGGACAATGGGTAGGCATTGAGCCAGAGTCCAATGGTTACTTCATCTATTGGCCAGGTCGCCACACAGTCTCAACTGAACGTAATGTGCAATTCTCTGATAGGCAGATCCAACCCATTGAGGGGGAGGATCAGGATTTGGGAAATCTGGAAACATCAGTCACCAAGTCGGAACAGCCTATCATACCAGTACCGGAGGAAATAGCCAAACCCATCAACCCAGATATAATCACAGGAAAACTGTCATGCCCTGGCTACAACCAGACCAGTCCCAGTAACCACCACACGTTGCCATACGTCCTACCCACCTCCTGTATGTCCTCCGCACCTCCCCAAGTACCACCAGACACCTCCCCAAGTATTTCTGATGCAACTACCCAAACGTCCTTCACCCCGACACGCGTACGAAAGCCCTCTAGCCGATAACCCCTTTAAGTATTAATCTCGATTACCTCCCTCCCTCCGATTAGCTACCTCATGCCTCCAGATGTTCTCTTGTTCACTTCCCGTACCTATTTAAGTAACGCCGCAATGTCCTGAAGCCCCAGCTTGGTATATTTTGAACACACACCCTTTTGCATAGGTCCAGTCCCTGTCCCTTTGTACCTGCTAACCATACGGATTTCTCTTTACTCTCTGTTTCATTACCTCTGTTTCTCTCAACTCTTGTCTATCGTCTCTGTGATCGTCTATACGACCCAATACACACTTTTACTTTACGTCTAAGCAATCTGAGTGAGTTCCCGAGCTCCCTCGAACAATACTAAAGCTCCCCAACGCCTACCGCCTTGGTGAGCTAACCTCCCCAAACCTCCTCGAGCTCCCTAGCTATTCTATAGGCTCAGGACCTCGATCTAGGTAACGTCGAAGCTACCCCTCACGTTGAACTACGTACTGCTTCTCCGTTACCACCTCCCACACTCGAGGACGTCCATCCTCAAGCCTAGCCCCCAGGGACCTACCCTCCCTGGTACATACCTTCTCAGGAGCTTACACCCTCGAGACCCATCTACATATACGACCTACTCGATCCTATATTGACGTTCTAGCGAGTACAACTCCTACTACGCAATATAGTACGGTCCCGCACTCTTCCTTAACCTCCCTACGCCTTAGGGACCTCCCTGGACCTCCTAGGAATCCCTCAAGGGTCACCATCCCATCGTTCCAGCCACTACTAGGTCATTCCCGTCCTCGGTCGCGGTTCCCGTAGCTCCCTTCGAGCTCCAGCCTGCTCCTAGCATGCTACAACATAAACCTCCACATACCAAAACCTACCCTAAGACCTATTTTGACCCAGGTCTTACAAAAACGTGTCAGGAAGCCAACCAAGAAAATCCAGGACATCATCAATGGGCTTGGAGAGCCGAACCAAGAGCTTAGGCATCTTACAGCATCACTTGGTCAAGTAACAGGTGAAATCATTGCTGACCCCACATCAGTTGCAGAAGCAATGCAATGTCCCAATTGGTCTCAATGGCAGTAACAAGCTTGCTTCGTTTTTGTGTGAAAGAGAAAGGAAGGAATCTAATGGGCACTCCAACCAACCAATCTAAAACACAATATGTGAGTTCACTGCTAACAAATTCATTTAATAGCAAGGGGTAGCGTTGGCAAAGGTTCTACAAAGCTTTGAGAGCTAAGTAAGAAGCTTCAATCAATCAATTTGAATTGTTCTGAGGATTTGATATATTCCTTTGATGAAGGTAGATTCAGCACGATAAGTGCTTTGATTGTATTGATATGGGTATATCAAGAATTGGGGGTTTTGAATCAAAGTAAATTAAAAACTGAAACACACAGACCCCTACAGAGGGCTAGAACTATGTGCTGGCACAACCACACAGCGTGATTTGCCCTTAAGACCAACGACTGATCCTAAGTTCAAAGAATACCCAACAACTGGATATACTTCTCGCAGTCACAAGGAGCAGAACATGATGTTCCTATACTCACAAGTGCCGGGCCCAAATGGCTGCTAGCGAAGAGGTTTCAGTCTGGTGGGAGTGTGTCTTTCCTTTTTACGGATTAGCACTGCAACGTCATCCCAAAATCACTTCCATTCCAGATACATCAGATCGCTATTTATACGTACAGAATATAGAGTCGCACAGTACAATTAATTTAATACAATAAACATTCAGAACCGCAAGGAAACTTCTACAATTGGTCAGATACCATTTAATTTGAATCTTCATGTCCTTATTTGGTCCATAATGGTTCCAAAATTCTAGTATACCTCCAAACATAGGTAGGTACTTCGATGGTCATTTAATTTAATTGTTTTGGAGAATGACTCGAATGGTGTTCAGCTGTCACTGCTGTTCAACACTTACTTCGATCGTTTGTCACCTCATCCAGAGGCAAATCAGCTCTCCTCAATTCTAATCCTATCAATCTGATTCATCTGGATTAAACTAATTGCTTCTCTCTTTCAATAGACACCCATTGTGCCTATACTCTATCAAGGGAGTTACGCATAGTATTCATTCAAATGCATTCTTCAATATTTTCTATGTCAGGACTCTTTGACATTCATTTGATATGTCTTTGGAGCCTCGCAGTACTTCGATCGTTCTTCTAGTCATTTTCCTCAACCATGCAACCTGATTGGTCTATTAGACTAAATCGCAGTCTTTTAGATTAATGCATGATCTCATTCTAGAAGGAGTATTTGATAATTCCTGAGTTCTAGAAAGTCATTTCGAGTCAATCCTTGGCTCATGGTCACTTGAGTAAGTTCTTCCAAACTCCTGCCAGTGTAAGGTCCAATAAGAATACCCTTGGTATGTCATATGTGAATGGTCATCCTTCAGATGTAGTCCGAGTCTGGCATAATCCTGCTTGACAAACAGGTAGACTGCTATCCAAAGGTAGTATCGGGGATGGGTAAACTAACCAACTTGTGGTAGTATGGGTATATGGTCCCTTCAACTTATTAGACTGATTCAGTATTGACTTTGACTGTCAATCTGGGTCTCAATTACAAATCTATGCATGAAAATGTCACAATTCACAGCATAGATATCTAGCCAAAATTTAGGCGTGTCACCATCAATTCAGATATGCTGGACTTGTAAAATGGAAGGTCACAGAGATTGTGGGAATCCTTCCCCTCATCCTGCATACATCATTGGCTCTATTCCTCATAGGATTGTCATTATACATCTCAGAGCTCCACAGCTCACTATCCTGGATTGTGGTCACTGTAACAAGCCTGGCATTTGCATTCTATTTGGGAAGTCTCCTCATACCCCAAGTATGGCTTGAATGTCCTTACAGGATACCATTGCTTTTTGTGCCAACAGAATATATGATCTATCCCTTCAGGGCCCTGTCATGGGTCATAGTCATACTTCTGGATGCTGTAGGTATTGAAAATCTCAAGAAGGGCAAATTTCCATCACTGACACAAACTCCATCGAGGACTACTGAGCTTGATTATTTAAAGACCAGAAAAGAGTCAGTATTGGAAGACATCCTTGTTTGGCTTCTTTCATTGGAGTCAAATCAATCTATTCAAGAAATTCTTGCTCAGCCCATTTGTGCATTTGTGATGCATGACAATTGGCACACTAAATATCCTAAACTTGGAAATTATGCAGATAGAGTTGCCAAAGCCATATGGGCTACATTATCAAAGTTCCAGGAATTTGATTTTCAAAAGTCAAACTTTGAACTTTCAAAAGTTTTCAAGGTCATTTCCTCATCCCAAGTGGGGACTCTATTTGTAAAGGGTACAATAGATTATTGGAACCATCTTGTTTCCAATAATAAATCTCAAATAATTTCAAAATGCTTTGAGTACTCCAAGTCACAGATAATAGGGGGAATTGATTTTGAAGATTTGGGAATAACCAAGAAGTGGACAGATAATGCACTAGTGAAGGCAGTGTCAATGAAATACTTAGAAATGACTAAAGTTCTTGTGGAAAAAATTTCAGATGTCAATACACAGGGAGGGGAGTACGAGAATACACTACAGGCAGCAGCATATGATGGAAATCCAGATATAGTCAAGTTTCTTGTAGAGAACAATGCAAATCTCAATGCAGAAGAAGGATTTTTTGAAAAGGCAATGCAGGCAGCAGTATATAAGGGAAATCTGGATATAGTCAAGTTTTTTGTTGAGAAAAATGTGGATGTCAATGCACAGGGAGGGGGATATGGGACTGCACTGCAAGCAGCAGCATATAGGGGAAATCTAGCTACAGTCAAGTTTCTTGTGGAGAAAAATGCAAATGTCAATGCACAGTGAGGAAAAATATGGAAATGCTCTGCAAGCCGCAAAAGAACAGGGAAGATATGATGTTGCCAATTTCTTGGAAGCCCATACCACTGTAGCATCACTGATCATGCACTGAGGGACAATGGCACAGGTTTGACCAAGTCCAGCTCCCAAGGATTGACCCAAGATCAGGAAGTGCCAGGTAAATGGGCTCCTTTATTTATTCAAAAGGTATTGTTCCTGTTGTGAATGCAGTTTGTTTATTCTGGCTACTGTATATATGTAGCTCTCATGAATCTAATTATGTTTCATACTGTCATTCTTACTGAGATCCTGTCATGCCTTGCTTTTGCTTTCTTACCTATCATATTCCTCACTATTGTCTGTTATAGTGTATTTTAGGCTGAAAGAAAACATTGCGTAGTTTACATAATACAGGGTTCTAGTAGAGCTTCCGGGGTCTACCAAAATCTGATACTACAAGTGTTATGGAATGTCACCCATGCTGCTGAATAGCTTGGAGTGAAGGATTGTATATGGAGTTGCTCAGAAGGATGAAAAACTTGATGATGCCGGGAGATGAGTATGAAGAGAAAGAGACAATATATTCAATGAGCGACGAGGGGGCGTGGGAAGATGATCTCACCACTGGCAGCCAGAGAGCGCTCACGGTGTAACCTCAACTATCATGGAAACAACAGCTGGTACAAAAGTCTCAGTACCAGACCTGCGACATGTGACATCTTCTGGAGCGCTTTCACCAGCAACTACAATGTCACCAAGCTCAAACTCACCAACATCCACCACCCGCGGTCGTCTCTCCCAGCATTACGGATTAGGATTAGGCTTGGGTTCGCCTCTAGGCTCGAGCTCGATACCCAGCTCACCGACCAGCGTACATTCCTCGTCGTCTGCGATTTTCGAGCGGGATATCGAGGGGCCAACGACGACGACGAGCACGACGAGTACGAATGCCACCCGCCCAAATCCACATCATATCGCACGCGGACACACCACAGAGACTCTAGACCAAAACGTTCCTTCGGTGTTGGACAGCGCTGCGGAGATCTTGGCTGCAGGCAAAGGCGATAATGTGTTGGTTATCGAATCAGTCTCGGTGTCGTCTGGCAGTGGATGGGCGAGTCCGAGGTCGATGGGGAGTAGGAGTCCTAGCCCAAGTCCACTAGGACAAGGGAGTTTGTTGTTGGGTGTTCCTGGAGCAGGTGCAGTGTCGACGTCTCCGCCTAGACCGACGATAGCGACGTCGTTGAGTTCACCGAGCAAGTCGCCGCCGACGACGATCGCTGCTACATCTCCCGACGACGATTCGGCATCCACCGATGAACCCCTAACCACAAAACGAGATACAGTCCCCGACTACCCTTGGTCCTCCCCACACTCACACTCCCCTCCCCACACTCTGTCCACAAAACGTCTCTCATTCGTCTCGTACTCTGATCTTCTCACCTCTACACCTACTTTGAGTTTGCCCCTTTCAACGCTCACCGCTGCAGCGAACGAGCCACCGCATATCGCCACTGTGGGGAATGCGCTTGAGGGGCTGGCGCATACACATCCTACTCATCCGAACCACCCTCCCACATCCACATCGCCTCCATCTTCTCCCCTGTCCACTCCAACTCCCCTGGGTTTCGGCTACGACCACGCTTCGTCCAGTCGCAGTCCGAGTTTGGCTTATCAGAGACCCTCTACGCCGGGCAGTGGGAGTGTAGGCGGGAGTGCGAGTAGGAACAGGAGTAACAGAGCCTCTGCAGTGTTTCTCGACGATTTACTCGGCGGGGAGTGGCAGAGGGAGGGCTTGGGCAGGGGTTTGGAGGAGAGGTTGGAGGAGCTGGGAGGCGATGTTTGAATTCCAACTCCTGAGCGGTGATGGCGATATGCGTTTTAGTTTCGCTGTTCTCTGAATTTGGCGAATTTGGATTAAAGGATATGGTTCGTGAACTGTCTTCATACGACCAAGTATGCATTTAAGATATACATATAAAAAAAGGTATTTTTTCTACTAATCAAATCAACTATGTTATGTATTGTTCCATTACATATGTGTTTTGTATTTCGGTGCTTTTGTTCTACGCAAAGGATATCGCGGATGCTGTTCAGTGTACATTGGTTTGTCTGACATCAAGTCTGGTTACATCTCAACGCTCTGCTTGTTGGTAACTCGTTTGCCAGTGCACTGACTTGTCACCCTCCCTATTCAGTCACGAGTTGTGCAACTACCGCTTGCTCAATGACCTTCTCATTCATTTGTATACTAGCGAACTCCTGCGGGGCTCAATGCACCTTGCTTGCCTCTAGTAAGCCCGTCAGAAGTAGTTTAACAGTGGACCGTGCTTGAAAGATTGAGGACGCTTGAAGGTGAAAAGTAAGTTTTGAGACATGTGGAGGTGGGCCATCACGCTGCGTGCATGGCAGGAACAAGTCTTCAAGAAAGCATTTACTGTCAATCTAAGCTTAGACAATTTGAAGCATAAGTATGCATCCTTCACAGGTTTTGAAGTATCTGTGCCTAAATGTATGATTGCAGTATTTGGAAAGGAAGTTGTCACAGACACTGTCTTCATGCTACATGACAAACCTTTGCAAAAGAAGAAGAAGGAACTGAAATATATTGGGGTACATCATCAGACTGGTCGAGGAAGCATATACAAAGACATACTTGTAGACAAGGCTAAGAATGCTGCAGGTGCAGTCCTTCATGCTAAGGCTTTTGTAGGCAGTGACATGCCACTAAGGGATATGATATTAGACTGAAGCCGGGGAAATGGACTAGATTTATTTAGTATACTCTGGTGATGGTGTACATATCTATCTATCTATCTATCTATGTATTCAATGGGTATTCCTGATATGTGTTTTTCCGCATAGCTAAACGTCAAAACAAGCGCCTCAATCACGTGACTTATTCATAGCCCAAAATACCCACTTCCCTCTTCCTCCTCGATGTCTTCACCTATTTATCATTTCTAGGAATCAGCAGCTCCACCTCCTCCTACCTCCCATCCCCCACGACGCCGATGAAACTAAAACCGACACCGAAAGCAGATACCCTTGACCTACGTTTTTTCCATTGCTCGAGCACCAAAAGGCACGCAATGCTGACCAGCTAAGGGTTCGGCGTTGTCACATATGCGAACCATCTCTTCGCAAAACTTTGTTTGTGTGTTGATGGGGAGTTTTTGCTGGTGAGTTCTCTTCCTTTCTCTCTCCCTTGTCTCTCACACACTCCCCCCTTTCCCTCTCTACCTCAATTGATTATTGCCCTGGGCTCTCAAGCAACCTGCTGCGTAACAAGCAATACAGACCCCTCACATTGACCTCTCTGTCGCCCAATGCACGCGTCCACGACGCAATCGATTCGGGGTACCGGTGCCCTCCTTTTCCTACTCCCTTGAATGCGGTCAAGCACCAGACGACGAACGATTATTCGATACAGTTGTGAAGGAAGGAACATACGGGGCTGTTTTCAAACAGGCATATAGTGGATAGGCTATTTCTCTGACGGCACGTTCCGCGTATCGGCGAATGTATTGCCTGTTACGCAGCGTGTTTGTTGAGAGCCCAGGACAATTAGGAGGATGCTGGGAGCCATCGAGGGGGAGAGGTAGTGAGACAAGGCAGAGAGCAAGGAAGGAAACTCACCAGCACAACTCCTTTCCCCGAGAATGTCGACCAATGCATTATTTCCATCAACGTCGACGACTCCTCACTGTAAACCCTTTTACTCCCAACGTCGACCGTATATCCTCATTGCTGGGTCACGAATATTCCCACATTATCTGCAATATCTTGCTTTGAAACACCGAAGCGGATCTATCCACGTATCGCGAATGAAGAAGTCGACGCAAGGGTGTGTATTGTTTCTTGAGCGCGCAGAACAGCATGGAAGTACTTCTCTTAACCAATGTGTGTATACAGGTTTTGAACATTGTTTTTCGGATACCACCACACAATTTGCGGTCTTTCTTCGCCGACACGAAAGTAAAGAACATTATGGTCCTTTTCCTCCTCTTTTTTCTACTCCACCATCGTCTCTAGCACGTGTTACAAACATTTTTCCCCCACCATTCCTCGATATCCTCATCAAATAGGTTCACCCCCGCGTGGCTGTGGGTTTGGTGAGGTGAGGGATTCAGCAACGACGATGGCGCCGCAGTGTTGCTGTTGGTGGAGTTAGTGATTTCTTCGGAATCAGATTCTGCTAGAACCAATTTCGCCTGGGCGGCTTGGATGGCTTAAGCTTTTGCGATAAGGAGATCGGCTGGGAAGGGTACCAGGAAAGGACAACGGTGGGATAGTCGTGACCAGCTACGGGATCACTGACAGGTCATGGATTTTTCAACTCTGGATACTGGCGGTGTCACGAAATCTGGACCTTTCACAGGGAGTCAGACTGGCAACGTCAGTGCACCGAACAATCGTACATACTCCGGCAACTCAATTCCCATTCACACTACAACGACATAGGTAACACTGATCAAATCCGGCCCATCCTACTTATCCATCCTTTATTCATTCCGTCTTCCAGACCAAGACCAAAGTCAGCTAAAGGCATCATTCCTATGGATCCATGGATATATTACCACCACCCCAACGAAAGGGTTGGTTCCTGCTTCGATTCTGCCTCGAATCACCCCGAGATTGTTCCACAGACCATTAGTCACATCTTTATGACCAAACGGATGGTATCCTGAAGGTCATGGCCGGGATCACGAGGCACCCGCAAAAGGAGTCGTGTTCAAACCACTATTCCCTTTGAATACGGTCCCGAGAAAATCCGGATTTCTACATTCTCGCGACACGACTTCCACAACGTTCTCCGCTGCCATCTAAAATAGACCGTCAGGTGTCACGACATACTACCAGGTGAGTTTGATGAGCCAGTGCAATGGTTGTCGTAAATGAGAGGAAACAGCGAGAAACAAAAAGGACAGGAATTGAGCGATGCACAGTTGGATTGGACAAGAACTAAGTGTTCTGGCGCTTGCAGAAGCGAAGTCTTGAGGATATACGGCTGACGGCGGGATTAAAGGGTATAGAAAGAGAGCAGTCGTCGTTGTCGATGGAAAGAACGCATCAGTTGACGTCCTCGAGGTTTGAATTTTCAGCGGTATTTGCAGTGTGGGGACGAGAAGAAAACGGAGCGAGGGAATAGGAAAGTGAAGATAAACAGACGGTGTTTGCAAGGTTTTTGTGGATGGTCTGTGTTGAAATTTGTGAGAAGGCATAGTTGGGGAGGTTAGGTAGGTGCTGGTGATCCTCGGTAGTACTAGTACCGAAGTTGGGAGAAAGCTATCGATTAACTTGTTGCAATGATAACAAGATAAGTAGATCAATAGAAATACCTATTTGACTTTACGCAGAGGCAGTATCTTTTCTGAATTCTGAATTCCCAGCCCTCAATCTTATGATTTGCGCATCTCCGGTGAGCACGTTGGCGAAGAACGCAGCTGGTATGCTTGAGATCTCTTCTAAATTATCGAAAGACTGGATATATATTGAGATAAACGCATACAACCGCGAGGCGATGAACAGGTTTTGGTGGTCGGAAGAATGCGTGGCTGTCCGGACCGGTACCCCGGATCGATTGCGCCGTCGACAGGTGTCCATTGTATAAACTTTCCTCTCCTTAAAAGACCCTTTCTGCGTATCGACAAATGGAGAAGTCAATGTGAGGTTATATTAAGTATTGCGGGGTGAAACTGGTGCGGGTGGAGCTGTTGGCTCTCAGAGAGGACTTGAGTAGGAAGAGAGAACGCCTGCCGGTGATCTTGCTTGATGTTTGTTTTGGCAGAATAGAAGTAAAAATATATTTCAGGCACGTACATGAGGACAGCGAGTGGACAGGTGGAAGGCTCATTGAAAACATGTGTACACCACCCACAGAGTATAAATTCAGTCCATTCCTGCTTCAGTCTGATATCCGAGTCCCCCCATCAACAGTACTCGAAAGATGTTTGAAGCAAATTCCACAATTCAAGATGATAAAGAACAGAAAGCTCCTGATTACCAGGGTATAACCATTCCCTCATAGGCACCTATGCTACTTAGACTAATAAACTTCTTTGCAGATTCACATGTTTCACAGTCTCAATCTTCTTCAACAGGGAACATGAAACAGATAGAGAATGAAATTGGTTCAGGTGAAGAAGTATCCACTTATCTTAAGTGCAAATAAGTATAATGCCACCTCTCCTGCTCCAGTACCTGTGCCAAGCACAATCTCCTCCCCCCTTGAACTTGAACATTCCAGGCCCTCAGATAATCCAATTCCCCCCAGTACTGACACAGCTGTACAAGGGGATGTAGATATTCCAGCCCAGAAGCAGGCTTCAAGTCAAGTAAACATTAAGGAGAAAGAGGCAGCCCCACCCCTCTTGGGAATTTCCTCTTATCAATCTCCATATACAGGTAAGATATTTGTGATACTTAGGGAAATACCTAACATATTGAACTTTGAACAGGAGGGAGGACATTTAATTATAAAGAGAAGTATCCAGATGATGAACCTCTTGGTGAGGAGTTGAATGACAATGCCCATGTGTTCAAGGTTTATCTGGATGAGGCAGAGAACTTTGATGATGATCTGATGAGAGGATTCAGAGACACAATTGATTCCTTGCTAGTATTTGTGAGTATTGATATACCCATTGTTTCACCTAACTTAATATTCAAGCAGGCAGCACTTTTCTCTGGTGTTGTAACATCCTTTGTCATTGCAACCATATCTGCCCTTCAACCAGATTATTCCCAAATCACTGCAGTCTTACTGGTGGAGCAGGTTCAAATCCTCAGAGCTGCAGGAAATATCACTGCCATCAATGCCATTCCTAAATCCTCTGTGGATTTACAGAATGCCTCAGTGGCTACTGATGATCTTTGGATCAATGGTCTATTCCTTGCTAGCTTGTCACTAGCCTTGGTCACTGCACTCTTGTCAGTCCTTGTCAAACAGTGGCTTCAAGCTTATAGCTCCATTATAGCTGGAAATGCACAACAGAAAGCTATGATCCGTGAATTCAGATATGCTGGACTTGTAAAATGGAAGGTTCCAGAAATTGTGGGAATCCTTCCCCTGATCCTGCATACATCATTGGCTCTATTCCTGATAGGATTGTCATTGTACATTCTAGGGCTTCATAGCTCACTATCCTGGATTGTGGTCACTGTGACAGGTGTTGCATTTGCATTCTATTTTGGAAGTCTCCTTATGCCTCAAGTATGGCTTGAGTGTCCTTACAGGATACCATTGCTGTTTGTGCCATCAGAATACATAATCTACCTATCCAAGGTTCTATTATGGTTATTAAGATGGATTATAGTCAAAATCCAAGATGTTACTCAAACTGCCAAGAAAAGGAATGCTTCCCCAAAGCATTGGGGTTTCAATTCAAATTCCAGGGAGAAAGATAGTTTTCCATCAATTTTACAAGCCTCATTGAAGAATACTGAACTTGAACATTTGACAAAAGAGGACAAAAGACAGTCAATATTGGAAGACATCCTTGTTTGGCTTCTTACTTTAGAGTCAAATCAATCCATTCAAAAAATCCTTGATCAACCCATTTATGGATTTCTAAGGTATCTAAAGCACCACAAATATTCCAAACTTGAAAATCATGCAGATAGAGTTGCCAAAGCCTTCTGGGCTACATTACCAAAGTTCCAGAGATATGATTTACAAAACTTGAACTCCCAAGTTTCACTTGTTCTTGATGACTTTAGCTTCTCATATGAAGCAAGAGAGTTATTGAAGAAGGGAACAGTAGCTCATTGGAACCATCTGATGTCCAATTGCAAATCTGATATTATTTCAAAATATTTTGAGTACTCCAAGTCAAGGCTCACAGGAATAGATTTAAAACAATTGGGAATAACCCAAGAGTGGAAAGATAATGCACTGTCGAAGGCAGTATCAGACTTTGATTGGGAATTGGTCAAAGTTCTTGTGGAGAATGGTGCCAATGTCAATGCACAGGGAATGGGAGAGAATGCACTGCATGCAGCAGCATGGGAGAGAAATCTGGATGTAGTCCAATTTCTTGTACAGAACAATGCAGATGTGAATGTACAGGGAGGACAATATGGAAATGCACTGCATGCAGCAGTCTGGAAGCAAGATCTGAATATAGTCAAGTTTCTTGTGGAAAACAATGCAGATGTGAATGCACAGGGAGGGTTTTTTGGTTATGCACTACAGGCAGCAGCATCCAGGGGAAATATAGATATAGTCAAGTTTCTTGTAGAAAACAATGCAGATGTCAATGCGCAGGGAGGAGAATATGGGAATGCACTGAATGTAGCAGCATATCATGGCCACCTACATATTGTGAAATATCTAGTTGAACATGGTGCTGATATTATGGCCCAGGGACTTCATGGAACAGCATTACAAGCAGCAAAACATGGGGAAGAACCTGATGTTGCCAATTTCCTGAAACCCTATACCACCTAAGCTTTCAAAATGATGAACTCATTGGCAGGCAGACTGACATGGGTTTAAAGAGGTCCAGATCTTTAGGATGAAGCTGAGACAAGGTCAAAACCCCAGGTTGTCACATTACTTTAAATAGATGGTACACATATTGGCCTTAGTAATACTATGTTCCATTCTTTTTTTCTCTATCTCTATATATTCTCTACATCAATTTCTCTATCTTCTCATGGTTTTTATAGGTACTCACCTTTCTATCACTTAAATACATGAATTTTTGACATGACTGTTACAATACAAGAACCATTTGCACACTTTACATACCCTCTCTCCATGAATATCTTGATCATTGTTTACATGAATAAGTGATACTAAACCACGACATCGTAACTCCCTTCTTTTCACTCAAGCAACACCCCCAAACCTCCTTCCTCTCTCGGGAACCTCCCCTTCCCCTCTTGAGAACATTCTGACGCCACCTCCATCCTCAAAAGCGCCACAACCACCTACCGCCTGACAGACCCGGGAACTCGCCCATGCCTCCATCAGACCGCCCTCATGCATTCTAGATCATCCCCATTAAATGCTCACTTCACACAATGCTCCCCTGACCCTTTCATGTTGTCTATATAAGTACCCTTATGTCCTAAAGATCCCCAGCTTGGTATATTTTGAGCACACACCCTTTTTCATAGGTCCAGTCCCTGTCCCTTTGTACCTGCTAACCATACGGATTTCTCTTTACTCTCTGTTTCTCTCTACTCTTGTCTCTCATCTCTACAATCGTCTATACGATCCAATATATGCTTTTAATTCACGTCTAAGCAATCCGAGTGAGTCTCCAAGCTCCCTCGAGTAATACTAAAGCTTCCCAACGCCTAACGCTGTGGTGAGCTAACCTCCCCAAAACCTCCTTGAGCTCCCCAATTGCTCCACAAGCTCTGGGACCTCAATCTAGGTAACATCGAAGCTACCCCCTACGTCGAACTACGTGCTGCTTCTCCGTTACAACCTCCAACACTCAAGGACGTCCACCTTCAAGCCTCAGTTCCCGGGACCTCCCCTCCCCGGTGTATATCTTCTCAGGAGCTTATACACTCAAGACCCACTCCCACTATGACCTATTCGATCCTACATTGACGTTCTAGTGAGTACAACTCCTACTACGCAACACTACTAGGTTCTGTACTTCTACTTCCCCTACCTACGCTGTAGGGACCTTTCTGGACCTTATAGGAACCTCCTCAAGGGTCACATCTCTCTATCCCATCCACTACTAGGTCATTCCTGTCCTCGGTCGCGGTTCCCGTAGCTCCCTTCGAGCTCCAGCCTGCTCGTAGCACGCTACAACATAAACTCCATATACCAAAACCTACCCTAAGACCTATTCTGACCCAGGTCTTACATTATACCAAGCTCTCCCATCACCGAACGGACTCATCGCGACGAAATGTCTGCGACATCAACAGAACGACCTTCTAGTTCCAAACTTGAATCGAAGAAACAAAAGAGCGCCTTATCTTGTGGAAACATGACACAAGCTCAAAAGTCAAACCAGGCTGCTAGCTCCACTGTCATTACGGTGGCAGCTGGTCAACACCTGATGTCCATCCCAGAACAGTCATTTGGGGATGAAACCGCTGGCAATGTAAGGACACCCGAGGGACATCAACCTGTGGTTCAGGAGCCTCCTCCAGTGGATCCTGGAATGGGACCACCACAGCAGAGGTATACTTCCATGGGTTATGCCCAACCCCCCAGTAGTCCCATGGGAGGTTTCACCTATTCTCCTACCTGGGGAATGAGAGGACCTCCCCCTGGACCGGTACCGCAGCTAGACATGGAGTCAGCTTCGAACGCAGGTGGAAGAGTCAGCAGCCAAGTAGCTGCTGTAGAAAGGATATAAGGGGAAAATGCAGATCCTCTTACGGTACAACAACAGGAGAAACTTCCGGAGAGGAGGGTATCACCTGCAGTATCCAAACAGTCTCGGACTTCATCCCGGAGGCTACCAACTCCTCCTGTACAGTCCCTTAACCTTCCTCCCCCAAGACGAGGAAGTTCGCTCTCCAGTCTCCTGAAGAGTCCAGCTATGAATACGCCCAACTGGGAGCATACACATGCAATACATCATAGCAGGACCAACTTCCCAGTGCAACTGTTGTCAGAAATGACGTTGCGTTAACGAGCTTGCCTCGTTTTTGTGTGAAAGAGAAAGGAAGGAATCTAATGGGCACTCCAACCAACCAATCTAATGCACAATATGCGAGTTCACTGCTATCAAATTTATTTAATAGCAAGGGGTAGCATTGGCAAAGGTTCCGCAAAGCTTTGAAAGCTAAGTAAGAAGCTTTGATCAATCAATCTGAATCGTTCTAAGGATTCGATATATTCCTTTGATTAAGGTAGATTCAGCACGATTTGTGCTTTGGTTTGTATTGATTTGGGTATATCAAGAATTGGGGGTTTGAATCAAAGTAAATTAAAACCGAAACACACAGACCCCTACGGAGGGCTAGAACTATGTGCTGGCACAACCACACAGCGTGATTTGCCCTTAAGACCAACAACTGATCCTAAGTTCGAAGGATACCCAACAACTGGATATACTTCTCGCAGTCACAAGGAGCAGAACACAATGTTCCTATACTCACAAGTGCCGGGCCCAAATGGCTGCTAGCGAAGAGGTTTCAGTCTGGCGGGAGTGTGTCTTTCCTTTTTACGGATTAGCACTGCAATGTCGTCCCAAAATCACTTGTATTCCAGATACATCGGATTGCTATTTATACATACAGAATATAGAGTCGCACAGTACAATTAATTTAATACAATAAACATTCGGAACCACAAGGAAACTTCTACACTCGGTCAGATACCATTTAATTTGAATCTACATGTCCTTATTTGGCCCATATTGGTTCCAAGATTCTAGTATACCTCCAAACATAGGTAGGTACTTTGATATTCATTGAATTTAATTATTTTGGAGAATGACTCGAATGGTGTTCAACTGTCATTGCTGTTCAACACTTACTTCGATTGTTTGTCACCTTGTCTGGAGGCAAATCAGCTCTCCTCGATTCTAATCCTATCAATCTGATTCATCTGGATTAAACTAATTGCTTCTCTCTTTCAATAGACACCCATTGTGCCTATACTCTATCAAGGGAGTTACGCATAGTATTCATTTAATTGCATTCTTCAATATTTTCTACGTCAGGACTCTTTGACATTCATTTGATATGTCTTCGGACCCTCGCAGTACTTCGATCGTTCTTCTAGTCATTTTCCTCAACCATGCAACTTGATTGGTCTATTAGACTAATGCATGATCTCGTTCTAGAAGGAGTATTTGATAACTCCTGAGTTCTAGAAAGTCATTTCGAGTCAATCCTCGGTTCATGGTCACTTGAGTAAGTTTTTCCAAACTCCTGCCAGTGTAAGGTCCAATAAGAATACCCTTGGTATGTCATACGTGAATGGTCATCCTTCGGATGTAGTCCGAGTCTGGTATAATCCTGCTTGAAAAACAGGTAGACTGCTATCTGAAGGTAGTATCGGGGATGGGTAAACTAACCAACTTGTGGTAGTATGGGTATATGGTCCCTTCAACTTATTAGACTGATTCAGTATTGACTTTGACTGTCAATCTGGGTCTCAATTACAGTCCTCTCGATACAAATCTATATGTGAAAATGTCACAA